TAAAGCGCATCATGCTTTGTCCTTTAATATAATTTGTCCCTTGTTGGGTGGCTCCTGCAGCTGGTTTGTCAAACAGGAATTGAGTGGGTATATTTGCATATTCTTAGCTTTCTGCCATGTTTAAATCATACGATAGGATAAAATAATGCGCATTTTATATGACACCTAATGTATCTTATGAATCTCTGGAATTTGGGTGGCATATACATATAATTTAAAAAAAATCCATCTACTGATGGATATAGCAGTCACAGCTCACGGCTTAAATCCATGTAAATACCGACTTAATTCTTGTGAGTTAAGCTAAAGATAGTTAGCTACTCTGAATTAAATGTCCTGGAATATGACATTTCTTTTTTTTGTTTTTTCCTTTATGAAACAAACTGTTCAGAGGAATACAGTGAAGAGCTCTGATGGAACTAAGCCATTTCACGGTATGCTGGAATTTCCAGGAGTTCTCCCAACAAAAGTTCCAGGTGCTACTTTTTTTAGTTCTGCTGCCAGATCCATTAGCAATCCTGATACTGACTGTAGGAGACAGGCACTAGCTATCCCTTATTCATCCACTCCAAGGCATTTATCAGGTAAAAGAAGCCCACATTTCTGTGCCAAAATGTCAGTATTGCCTAGAAGTTTCAGTTCCTTACAACCTCTGGAGGACACTGGTTTTGAACCGCAGGAACTGAAAAGTTCAAGAAGTGTTTCAGCTACTGGGGCCTGTCCATCATATGAAATGCCTGTTCCTTGGCATCAGAACAATCTGACTGACTATGAAGAAAGTCCCAAACTGGGCATGCAGAAACTAACACCCACAAGAAGCTGCTCTATAGCGGGGCAAATGAGAAGAATGTCCTCCTTCCAGGCTGATTACTGGGCATGTGCAATACCTGATTCTCTACCGCCATCACCAGATCGTCAGTCCCCGCTTTGGAATCCTAATAAAGAATATGAGGACTTGCTTGATTATACTTACCCTTTACGGCCCAAATACAAGCTTGCCAAAAATCTCAAAGATTCCACTGTCCATGATTCTGGAATTGATCTTGATAGCCTCTCCATTTCCCCTGAGAGTACCTTGAAGTCTATGAGTATGTGGGACCAAGAACGCCAAACCAGGGAGAGCCCTACCGCACAGAGACTTTCAAGTCCTTTCTTGAAAAAGCTGGAATGCTCAGTTCCAGTTTCTCACTACAGAATATCACCGATTGGGAAAAGGTCCCTGGCAGATGGCGAAATTGGCATTTCTGGAGGGATGTCACCTAGTTTATCTCCTAGATGCCTTGAGCCACCCAATTCCCCTTTTGTAACTGAGCAAGGATGCCACAAAAATAGACATGAGTGTCTTTTGAGGAGAAAAGCTGCTAGTGGAAACTTTGTGCGCTCTACAAGTATATTGGCCTTACAGAAAGAATGTGCCAGTGATGATGAATATCTGTCCTTGCCACCAAGACTCAAGGAGTTAGAGACGTTGGCACAGCAACTAACTGATCTTACACTGACTATAAAGAAACCTGAACATGGCCAGGAACAAGATGGCTTCGCCTGCATCAGTGTGAATGGGCAGCAGCTTCTGCCAGAGATTCAAGGAGATAGTGATGGCAATGAGAGCCAGTGGGAATTGTATTCTGACTCTTTCCATACGTGCAGTTTCCAAGAACCTGATGAAATAGACATTCTAAGGGATCGAACCAGCAAGGACCATGAAAATGAGCCAAGGGAAACTGCTGGCACTGATTTTCTTGAAATGAGATGCCCAGAGTTCTTTTCTATCAAGGAAGAAAAGAAGGACCATTACTCTCTTGCGCAGTGTATTAAGGTAATTTTTTTAAAAATCTAAATCTGAACATCATCTCATCGTGTTAAAATTGAACATATTATGTATACTTTAAAGTTTCCATTGGGGTTCATTGTCTTTGTGGAAGCTCAGACCATACTGTAAATCGGGTAGTCAACCTTGGCTCTTTTATGACTCGTGGACTTCAACTCCCAGAATTCCTGAGCCAGCTAAGCTGGCTCAGGAATTCTGGGAATTGAAGTCCACGAGTCATAAAAGAGCCAAGGTTGACTACCCCTGCTGTAAATCATCAAACTGCATGAATATAGGTAGTTCAGAAGAATTAACAAATTTTTCACACTACTATAGATTATCTCACCTTGACTTCTGGGCAACATATCTTTTTTTCCTTTGAGTTTGATGTATTCTTTTGTACAAGAATTAAGACCCTGTGTTATGGCTGATTTACATTCTGTTTAAATGGAAACATTTCACTATTGAGTGTTGTGGTACTTTCTGAATCCCCAGGGATTCTAGCAAGAAAGTCAACTACGGTACTTATTAAATCCTGTGCTATTCTGTCCAGATCCTGTTCTTTTAATTTGACGACTTTGTCCGTCGATGGACTATGGAGTCTTCTATAATCCTTAGCTTATCACAAATTAATATGACAGTATAATAAACAGAGCTGTGTAGGGAGTCATGAAAGGCTTTGTTTGAAGCATACTTTCTGCCTACAGTAATTGTACTGTATATGTATATCTACTGTATTTTGGGGCAGTATCACAGAACATTGTTGATAAATGTGCAGAGTCTCGAGAAAACTCTTGAAGTAGCTGCACTGAACTTCCAACCCCCAAGCACTTCAAAGAAGTACTTTGCTTGCACCAATACCCTTTACAGAATATTGCTTTGAATGAGTATCTAAATAGGTATTTCGTAGAATTAAGCTAGCACTCTGAAATCTTGCAAACATTATGATATCCTTGGTAAATATTCTTGTTTCCTTGCGATGAATACATACAATAATCTGTGGCAATCGTGCAGCTTAAGCCGATCAAGTCCACTGGCTCCAAATTTGAATGTAGCTTAATACTTTTTTTCTGAATTATCTATATAGATGTTTTGCTATCAGTTGGAAGAGCTCATTCGCTGGCTACATAAAATGGCAGAAGTTATAGATCACTGGGCTCCTCCCAGGCCAGACATTGAAAGTGTTAAAGCATCATTTCAAAACTACCTGGTAACTGCATTTTCTCCTTCATGAATTTCAATAGTGGGGTTCATTTTTATTACACTTGTAATACATATATATTTACGCAACTTGGGTAATATGGAGGCCTACTATTGATAACCTTTTCTTGCAGTCCTTTGTAAAAGACAGTGGAAAGATAATACTTAAGTCATCACATGTATTTCTTTGCATTGGCAGAATTGATGCTTGAAAGTGGCAGTTAGAGATAGCTGTAAAATGGTATGAACTCTTATCAAAAGTATTTGGTTCGGTTAAACATTTTTAGTTAAATTCTTAATCAGCATAAACACTGAACTCTTTTAATGCCCTGTATGGAATTTGTAAGAGCCAGTTTGATGCAGTGGTTGAAGTGCCAGGCTAGAGACTGGGATACTGTGAGTTCAAGTTCTGCCTTAGGCCCAAAACAGCTGGGTGACTTTCTTGGGTGAATCTTCATCTATCAGCCTAGGAAGGAGGCAAGGAGTAACCCATTCTGAAAACCTTGTCAAGAAAACAGCAAAGACCAGTCCAGGCAAGGCAGCAGGAGTCCACTGACTTGGAGGCACACACACCCACACAAACATACACACACACAAACACACACAAATATATCGATCTGTTGCATACTTTATTCTGGATGCTGATTCTAATTCTTAATGTGTTGTTTACCTAGAGAACAATTGTTGTTGGGCAGATTAAAATATAAACAAAATTTGCAAAAGAAATTCATTCTATCACATGAAACCACTTAGCTTTTAGCCAGTAACTGGACAAAATTACTGCTCTCTGGCTATAATTTTGAAGAGATTTTCTTTCATTATGTATTGCACATATTTCTATACTAATGCAGTCAAAACAACTCTTGGTGACTTGCACAGGGAAAGAGCTGGAATAAATGAACTCCCTCATGAAACTTTAGCTACTTAAGCAAAAAGATTGCTAAAAGCATGAATTTGGCTCCCCCCTCCCCATTTTACTTAAAGGTTCCAAAGTATACTCTCGACATCTGCTCAGCATCTTTGGGTAGAAATAGTAGAAACTGCGGTATCTATACACCAACACTGATTCATTATTTTCCCATTCTTTCTCTCTTCCTTTCTTTCTGTGAGCCAGGCCTGTGTTCCAGTTCAAGTGAGCTACTCATTTTATATTTTGCCTGAAGTTTACATGTTCTCCCAAATAAACATGGAATACTGTACATCAAAATGTAAACCAGTAAAGGAATCCATGTTGTAGTTCTTGAATGTCCTGCCCTTTGTACTTTTAAGTTAATTCTTGTGAATGGGACCTGCTCTAGGCAACCAACCATATTACTATGATTTTTCCTACTTTGTGCATTACATTTCACATTTCTTGACAGGAATTCAAAAAAGATTTAGCTGAGCACCAAGCATTGACTGAAAGTGTGATGCATGATGGGGAAAAACTTCTTAAATGCATGTCAACAAATTCACCAGGTAAGGAATCAATCACATATAGGAGTTTGAAAATACAAGTAGTCCTCACTTAACAACTGTAATTGGGGCTGGAATTTCTGTCACTAAGCAAGTAATTGTGAAGTAGGATGTCATGTGAACATGCTACTTAGTGACAGAAATTCCAGCAGTTCCAATAGCCATCATTAAGTGAATAACCGTAAGGTTTACTAAGAAAGGATTACATGTAATCACCATTTGTGACCTCCTGCTGGCTTTCCCATTGACTTTGCCAGGAAACTAGGTTGCAAATAGTGATAATGGATGCTATGAGCTGCATTTGTTACCTGGATGCCAAGCACCTAGATCGCAATCAGGTGGGTGTAAGGAAGCTACTGATAGCCAGAACTTCAAAGACTGGTAGCACGCGTCATTCAATGCCATCATAAATTCAAACATGAATGCTGAATGAGTATCATTGTTAAGCGAGGACCTATAAAAGGGGCCCATCCTCATTTAAGCAAAATTGTTATATATATATATATATATATATATATATATATATATATATATATATATATATATATATATATATATATATATATATA